CTAAACGCTAATAATGTAATGTAATGAGTAGGGGCTAAATGCTAATAATGTAATGTAATGTAATGAGTAGGGGCTAAATGCTAATGATGTAATGTAATGTAATGAGTAGGGGCTCGTAACCGCAAGGTCGCCGGTTCGATATCCAGCTATATAAACGGAAGAAGAAGAAAAAGCAGACAGTGGGAATGTGCAGTATAGTTTATTATTGCTGTTTGTTGTAAAAGGGAGAGAGAGAGAGAGGAGAGAGAGGGAGAGAGAGAGAGAGAGAGAGAGAGAGAGAGAGAGAGAGAGAGAGAGAGAGAGAGAGAGAGAGAGAGAGAGAGAGAGAGAGAGAGAGGGAGAGAGAGAGGGAGAGAGAGAGAGAGAGAGAGAGGAGAGAGAGAGAGAGAGGGAGAGAGGAGAGAGAGAGAGAGTGATCCCAGGTGAGCTCTCTTGAGGTAACGGGTAGCAGGTCACATGATCAGCAGGTCACATGACCCACATGTATGAGGTATCGCCGGTTCTGTCTGGAAGACGGATGGAGGATGGAGCGGAGGCGTGGAGGTAGAGGGTCAAAAGGTCCCGACCCCATTTCATCTGCGCTCGTTCAGGCTGGCGAGGTTCCTCAGCTGAGGGAGAGAGAGAGAGAGAGAGAAAGTAAATCAGTGAGGGTTAGCGTTAGCATTAGGGTTAGGGTTAGAGGGAGAGAGAGAGAGAGAGGAAGTCATTCCTACACACACACAACCCACCCCCCATCCCAACAACCCAACCGGGACTCGACCCCACAAACCTACCGTGACCGCCGCTCCCATAATCCCCTGCACCACCGCCTCCCCCGTGGACTGCACCTACAGACACACACATGAATGCTAAATGCTAACAATGTAATGTAATCTAATGAGTAGGGGCTAAATGCTAACAATGTAATGTAATGAGCAGGTGCTAAATGCTAATAATGTAATGTAATCTAATGAGTAGGGGCTAAATGCTAATAATGTAATGTAATATAATGGCAGGGGCTAAATGCTAATAATGTAATGTAATGTAATGAACAGGGGCTAAACGCTAATAATGTAATGTAATCTAATGAGTAGGGGCTAAATGCTAGTAATGTAATGTAATGTAATGAGTAGGGGCTAACGCTAACCAGTACCTTATTGGCTGCGTCGGCCATCTTGGCGATGTCCCGGACGCGGTTGCCGAGGAAACGCCAGGTGTCCTGGTAACCGGGGGAGGAGTCCTGGAGCATCACCAGCTGGGCAGCGCTGTAGACGCCGGTCAGGGCGGCCCGGCGGGCGTGGCGGGTCACCTGGGGGGAGACGGAGGAGAGGAGAGGGGGATGGGAGGGGTGTGGAGGATTCTGGGAAGACGGGAGGAGGAGAGGAGGATTCTGGGAAGAAGAGAGGGATGAAGAGGAGGACTGTGGGAAGAAGGGAGAGAGGAGAGGAGGATTGTGGGAAGGAGGGAGGTAGAGGAGAGAGTTTGGGAAAGGGGGAGAGGAGAGGATTATGGGAATGAAGGAGGCAGAGAGGAGGAATCTGTGAAGGAGGGAGGGAGCACTGGAGGATTGTGGGAAGGGGGGAGGAAGGAGAGGAGGATTCTGGGAAGACTGAGGAGAGGAGGATTCTGGGAAGGAGGGAGGGAGCACTGGAGGATTGTGGGAAGGGGGGAGGAAGGAGAGAAGGATTCTGGAAGGAAGGAAAGGGAAGAATTCTACGAAGGGCAGAGAGGCAGAGAGAAGGATTCTGGGAAGGAGGAACACAGAGAGAGGAGAGGATTATGGGAAGGAAGGAGGGAGGACTGGAGGATTGTGGGAAGGAGGGAGGATGACGGAAGACTCCCGGGAAGGGCAGAGAGGCAGAGGAAAAGATTCCGGGAAGGAGGAAGAAGCGAGAAGGATTCTGCGAAGTAGAGAGGGAGGAGGAGGGGAGGATTGTGGGAAGGCGGGAGGGAGGGAGAGGAGGATTGTGGGAAGGAGGAGGACGCTCACGTCGGTGGAGCGGTCGCCGGCGTGGTACCAGATCTCGTCCATCAGGGAGGAGAGGAGCTTCAGGCTCTGCGGGAGGTGATGAGGGAGGAGGAGGAGACTCATGGCCTGGAGAGAGAGAGAGAGAGAGAAGCGCTAATGCTAAATGCTAATAATATAATATATTATATTCGGGTGGTCGTCACGGTTACCTGCGGCCAGGTGTGGATGTAGGGGATCAGCATCCGGAGCCGGGTCTCCACGGCGACCCTCAGGAACTCGGCAACGGCCTCCGGGCTGGAAGAGAGAGGAAGAGTGTGAGTGTGTGTGGGTGTGTGTGTGTGTGTTAGCATACTTGCTTAGCGTGTGTGCTCGACCTAGCATAGTTTCGTAGAGAGAATGAGAAGGAAAGAGAAAGAAAAGAAAGAGAGAGAGAGAGAGAGAAAGAATGAGTGAGCATGAAAGAAAGAAAGAAAGAAAGAAATATACTCACTCCTCCGGCTTGACTTTCTTCCCCTCCTCCACCAAAAACTCCGCCAGCTCCCCGGTGCACCTCCTCACGAAGTGCAGGACTAGATCCCCCGCCGTACCGCTGCTAGGACTACATCCTATCGCCTGGGGAGGGGGATAAATGCTAATAATGTAATGTAATGTAATGAGCAGGGGCTAAACGCTAATAATATAATCTAATGTAATGAGTAGGGGCTAAACGCTAATAATATAATCTAATGTAATGAGCAGGGGCTAAATGCTAATAATGTAATGTAATGAGCAGGGGCTAAATGCTAATGTAATGTAATGAGCAGGGGCTAAATGCTAATAATGTAATGTAATGTAATGAGCAGGGGCTAAATGCTAATAATGTAATGTAATGTAATGAGCAGGGGCTAAATGCTAATAATGTAATGTAATGTAATGTAATGAGTAGGGGCTAAATGCTAATAATGTAATGTAATGTAATGAGCAGGGGGCTCGTAACCAGAAGGCCGTCAGTTCGGTACCTCCGCGCCGGCGGCGATGGCCTCGGCCGACCAGCCGAGCTGCGGGACGAACTCCAGCGCTGCTGTCAGGACCCGGGCCTCTAGCGGCTCTTCGGTTCCAAGCCCCCCGCTGCGCAAAGCATCGTGGGAAAAAAACCCCATTACATTACATTATTAGCATTTAGCTCCTACTCATTACATTACATTACATTATTAGCGTTTAGCCCCTACTCATTACATTACATTACATTATTAGCGTTTAGCATTAGCTCTTATCCAGAGCCGCTTACACAGGTTACAGTTTTATCCGTTTATACAGCTGGGAATCGAACCGGCGACATTCCGGTTATGAGTTATGGGTGCTTACCCGGTGTCAGGTTGTGGGGTGTCTTCTCGGGTCGCTTCCGGTTCAGGTGGAGATAGGGTCACGTCCTGTTCCTCTTCAGGTTGAGACCCAGTCACCTCCTGTTCGGGCGCAGAGGCGGTGGTAGGCACTTCCTGGTCAGGTGTAGTCTCAGATTTGAACATATCCTGTTCCGGTGCAGACCCAGACATAAGCACTTCCGGCTCTGGTGTAGTCTGGGATGTGATCCCTTCTTGTTCTGGTGCAGACCCAGAGGTAACCACTACATGTTCAGGTCCAGACCCACATGTAAGCACTTCCGGCTCGGGTGTCATCTCGGATTTGAGCACATCCTGTTCCGGTGCAGACCCAGATGTAAGCACTTCTGGCTCAGGTGTAGTCTGGGATGTGAACCCTTCCTGTTCTGGTGCAATCCCAGATGTAAGCACTTCTGGCTCAGGTGTAGTCTGGGATGTGAACCCTTCCTGTTCTGGCGCAGACCCAAATGCAGGCACTTCTTGTTCAGGTTCAGACCCAGAGGTAATCACTACATGTTCAGGTCCAGACCCAGATGTAGGCACTTCCGGCTGTAGTGTAGTCTCAGATTTGAGCACATCCTGTTCTGGTGCAGACCCAGAGGTAACCACTACGTGTTCAGGTCTAGACCCAGATATAGGCACTTCTTGCGCGGTAGCGGCGGCTACTTTGCCGGGTGTGGACTCATCCTGCGCCCTCCGCAGCGGCAGGGGGTTGGGTCGGAACCCGCGCCGGGGTGGTGCTATCCCTAAGGGGGGCCACAGAAAGCTCAGTTACGTCTCAGCTCTAACGCTACATGATAAACACCCTATGCTAACTCTGCAGACTAAACGCCCCATGCTAATGCTACATGATAAATACCCTATGCTAACTCTGCAGACTAAACACCCCATGCTAATGCTACATGACAAATGTAGCATTAGTATGCGCTAAACACCCTATGCGGTAAACACCCTATGCTAACGCTGAACGCTAGGTGCCCAAAGCTAACGCTGAACGCTAGATTCCCTATGCACACTAGACTCTCTATGCTAACACTACATGCTAAACACCCCATGCTAATGCTACACTTTAAACACCCTATGCTAACTTTCTGTCTTTCTTTTCTTTCTTGTTTCTTTTATTCTCTCTTTCTTTCTTTAACACAAATCCTGTGAATCGCTAACCATCGTGGGGTTCAAACGCTTTGTGTATGTTTATTACATTACATTATTAGCATTTAGCCCCTACTCATTACATTACATTGCATTATTAGCATGTAGCCCCTGCTCATTACATTACATTATTAGCATTTAGCCCCTACTCATTACATTACATTGCATTATTAGCATTTAGCCCCTGCTCATTACATTACATTGCATTATTAGCATTTAGCCCCTACTCATTACATTACATTACGTTATTAGCGTTTAGCCCCTACTCATTACATTACATTGCATTATTAGCATGTAGCCCCTGCTCATTACATTACATTATTAGCATTTAGCCCCTACTCATTACATTACATTGCATTATTAGCATTTAGCCCCTACTCATTACATTACATTATTAGCATTTAGCCCCTGCTCATTACATTATACTACATTATTAGCGTTTAGCATCATGGGAAATGTAGTCCTGTTTACGTTACATTATTAGCATTTAGCATTAGCTCTTATCCAGAGCCGCTTACACAGGTTACAGTTTCATCCGTTTATACAGCTGGGGAATCAAACCAGCAGCCTCCCGGTTACGAGCCCGGCGCCTTACCGCCACGGCTAACCTTGCTAATCGTACGTGCCCGCAGTCAGGCAGCTGCCCTTCCAGCTCACCTTGGCACGCCCCCAACCGGAACATTTCCCCGTACAGTATCGAGTCCCGCCCTCCCAAGATAAAAGTCCATGCACCCAACCCCCTACTGGTGCAGCTTCCCGGGATTCGACCCCGCAACCCTCCCCGGCCTCACCCGCGCCGAACCCCCGCAGGACTCTCCCGAAACGCAGCCCTCTGAGCAGCGCCGCCATGTCGCGCCGTCGACGTCATTCCCCCCGCGACGGCACGTCGCCTTAATATGACGTCAACATCATATAACCCCGTTTGTTTTGGGGGCAGAAAAAGGACGCGAACGTTGGAACCGGTATAGAGCAGATCGCGACTTTACCACGACTTTACCACGATATAATTCTCTTCTTTACAACCCCAGGCACCACGTTTACCCGCGATCGAAGCCCGTTTTGTTTCAAAAAACCAAACTTTATTTAAAACCGGCTAGCGTTAGCTTAGCCGCGTTTTACCCTATCCTTACCACTGCGTCACGCTTCGGACCGCTATTTTTAACCAACTTTTTGGGGGGAATTTCTCGCAAAATCGGACAGATTTAACCCAGATTACCCTTCAGACGAGGTAAGACGCTATATCCCATCATATTTCATCATATTTCATCTCAAATTCATAAAGTTTTTCCGCGTTATGAGCATTAGCCGCCGGGTTAGCCACCGGCTAACTGCATGCGTTTGGAAGAACAGATACCCCACGTTAGCTTTCTATTCTCTAATATTTCATAAAACACCTTATTAATCTACAAAATCCTTCATTTAAATATGCACACAATATGAATGAACCCAAATTATGATGGTTTATGATGAGTACATCATAAAAATATAGATCTATATAATATATACAATGTAGCATAACCATATATTCAATATTTCACATGCTAATATAATATAAATCGCTCTTTGAGAGCTAGTTATAAGTTATAATGTGGACTTTATGGCTAATCTTACAGCTAATTAATCCATAATCCGTGCTAATAATCCATAACCATTAATCAAAAACAATAATTTGGTCCATACCCTTCAGTAACGCAAGCAGAAACGGTTAGCTGTTAGCCGTAGCGTTTGGGTAACTTTATCCAGCTAATATTACAATGCATATTTAATATAATAGCTTATAGCTAATTTTACGCCTGCGTTTTGTTAATAATCAATAATAAGTAATCATAAATGATAATTTGCTCCATAACCGTGTGGCTAGCTTTATTAGCCTGTCATTAAAGCAGAAACTTAGCTGTTAGCCGTAGCGTTTGGGTAACTAATTTATCCAGCTAATATTACAAGTTATTTCAGAGTTAGTTATGAGTTATAATATGGACTTTATGGCTAATTTTTGCTTTATAATCAATAATAAATAATCATAAACGATAATTTGGTCCATAACCGTGTGGCTAACTTTATTAGCCTGTCAGTAAAGCAAGCAGAAACGGTTAGCTGTTAGCCGTAGCGTTTGAGTAACTTCAATTTATCCAGGTAATATTGCAATATGTATTTAATATAGTAGCTTATAGCTAATTTTACGCCTATGTTTTGTTAAAAATCAATAATAAGTAATCATAAATGATAATTTGCTCCATAACCGTGTGGCTAACTTTATTAGCCTGTCATTAAAGCAGAAACTTAGCTGTTAGCCGTAGCGTTTGGGTAACTAATTTATCCAGCTAATATTACAAGTTATTTCAGAGTTAGTTATGAGTTATAATATGGACTTTATGGCTAATTTTTGCTTTATAATCAATAATAAATAATCATAAACGATAATTTGGTCCATAACCGTGTGGCTAACTTTATTAGCCTGTCAGTAAAGCAGGCAGAAACGGTTAGCTGTCAGCTATAGCGTTTGGGTAACTTTAATTTATCCAGCTAATATTGCAATATGTATTTAATATAGTAGCTTATAGCTAATTTTCCGCCTGCCTTTTGTTAATAATCAGTAATAAGTAATCATAAATGATAATTTGCTCCATAACCGTGTGGCTAACTTTATTAGCCTGTCAGTAAAGCAGGCAGAAACGGTTAGCTGTCAGCTAAAGCGTTTGGGTAACTTTAATTTATCCAGCTAATGTTATAAAATGTAATGTAAACATATTGTTTATGTAATAAAATAGCTTATAACTAATTTTACAGCAGCGCTTTGTTAATAATTAATAATCAAATAACATATTTTGGTCCATACTCGTGTGGCTAATGTTGTTAGCCTTTCACTAAAGCAGGCAGAAAGCTGCCGGTTAGCTGTTAGCCATAACGTTGGAGGAAACGGCTTTAATTTATGATTTATTGAATTATTATGAATTATTTAATGTCCAAAAATAGTTTTTAATCCATTTCCAAATGTGAAAAGGTCGTTTATAAGGACGCTGGACGGAGTCTGTGACCCTCAATAGCATAGCATAGAAATACAGACAGAAACACAACCAAGTTAGCTTAGTTTGTTAGCATTATGAAGGGGAGGTCTTTGAATATTATAGAATATTACAATATAGCTTCATAAATTATATATATATATATATAGATAGATAGATAGATACAATATAATGGTGTATGGCTAATTTTACTACCGTGCTTTCCATAATCAAATTTAAGCTAATTTTGAGCCACAATCATATGGCTAACTGTATTAGCCTCTGAGTAAAGCAAACCGAAACGGTTAGCTGTTAGCTATAGTGTGTGTGTGTGAGAAAGATAGCAAATTTTGGGGGTACTGGTTTGTGCTTATCTGTGTGTGTGTTCACTCTCTCCCTTGTTCTCCTCTCTCTCCCCCTCCATCCTCCATCCTTTCCTCTCTCTCTCTCTTTCCCTCTATTCTCTCTTTCCTTCTCCCTCTCCCTCTGTCCTTCTCCCTCTTTCCTTCTCTCTCTCCATTCTTCTCTCTTGTTCTTTCCCTTATCCCTCTGTCCTTCTCCCTCTCTTCTTCTCTCTCCATCCTTCCCTCGTTCTCTCCCTCTTTGTCCTTCCCTCCCTCTCCCTCCCTGTGTGTGAGTGTGTGTGTGTTCACTCTCTCCCTAGTTCTCCTCCTCTCTCCCTCTCTCCCTCCATCCTTACTATCCTTTCCTCCATCCTCCCTCTTTTTCCCTCCTTCTCTCTTGCTCTCTCTTTCTCTCTCTTTCCTTCTCTCTCTCCCCCTGTCCTTGTCCCTCTTTCCTTCTCTCTCTCTCCATCCTTGCTGTCTTTTCCTCTGTCCTCCCTCTTTTAAGATAAGATAAGATAGAACTTTATTGATCCCACAGCGGGGAAATTCACATGTCACAGCAGCATTTAGACAGAGGTAGAAAGAGTGGCAAAGTGCAAAAGTGCAATAAAGTAAAAAATACAAAAACACAAAGGAATACAGAAGAAGAAAACAAACAAAAATATATACATATATATATATATAAACAGAACCAATAAAATAGTAAATAAGTGTACATTAAGAATTAAAAAAACAAACAGAAAAATAAGAAAAACCACAGATGTGCAAAAACTAGAGATGTGCAAAACCAAGTGTATTTACAGAGTGGTGGGGTTTATTTATTATTAAACAGTCTGACCACAGTTGGGATGAATGACCTGCGGTAGCGCTCCTTCTTACACCGTGGGTGAAGCAGTCTCTCACTGAAGGAGCTGCTCAGGGCCACCACAGACTCATGCAGGGGTGGGAGGTGTTGTCCATGATGGAAGCCAGTTTGGCTAGCATCCTCCTCTCACCCACCTCCTCCACAGAGTCCAGTGGAGAGTCCAGGACAGAGCTTGCTCTCCTGATCAGCTTGTCCAGTCTCTTCCTGTCCCTGTCCGTACAGCCCCTCCCCAGCAGACCACGGCGTAAAGATGGCTGAGGCCACCACCGTGTCGTAGAAGGTCCTGAGGAGAGCCCTGCACACTCCGAAGGACCTCAGCCTCCTCAGCGGGTGGAGGCGGCTTTGACCCTTCCTGTACAGGGCATGAGTGTTGTCTCTCCAGTCCAGTTTGTTATTAAGGTGAACACCCAGGTATTTGTAGTTCTCCACTACCGCAATGTCCATACCCTGGATGTTCACAGGCGTGATGTGTGGTGTCCTCTTCCTAAAATCCACGATCATCTCTTTTGTCTTGCTGGTGTTGATGTAGAGCTGGTTGAGCTCACACCAACTGACGAAGTCCTTGATGACCTCCCTGTATTCCAGTTCATTCCCCTCAGACACACATCCAACGATGGCTGTATCATCCGAGAACTTCTGGATGTAGCAGTTGCCGGTGTTGTGGCAGAAGTCTGAAGTGTAGAGTGTGAAGAGGAAGGGAGAGAGCACCGTACCCTGCGGGGCCCCTGTGCTACAGGTCACCACATCAGACACACAGTCACGGAGTCTCACATACTGTGGTCTGTTGGTGAGGTAGTCAATGGTCCATGTAGTCAGGTGACGATCAACTCCTGCTCCCTCCAGCTTCGCCCTCAGTAGTGCAGGCTGAATGGTGTTGAAAGCACTGGAGAAGTCAAAAAACATGAGTCTCACAGTGCTCCCAGCATGCTCCAGGTGAAGCAGTGATCTGTGGAGGAGGTAGATTACTGCATCCTCTACCCCGAGGCCCGGCCGGTAGGCAAACTGTAGGGGTCCAGCGCCAAGTTCACCAGAGGTCGAGGTGATGCAGGATGATCCTCTCAATGTCTTCATCAGGTGGGAGGTCAGGGCAACAGGTCTGAAGTGGTTCAGCTCCTTAGGGCGCGCCACCTTAGGCACTGGAACCACACAGGAGGTCTTCCACAGGGCCGGGACTTTCTCCAGACTGAGGCTCAAGTTGAACATGTACCTGACCACACCAGAGTTGGTCCGCACAGTCTTTGAGCAGTCTGGGGCTGATTCCGTCTGGGCCCACGGCCTTTCTTGCCTTGATCTTTGCCAGTTCCCTTCTCACCTGGTCAGCTGTAAGGGGAGAGGGGAGGGTGGAGCGGAGAGGTAGAGGGGGAGAGGAGGTGGGGGTGAGGAGTGGTGAGGGGCAAGG